ATATATATATATATATATATATATATATATGGATAACAGATCATATTGGTTAATGTTGAATTTTAATGGTTTTATATACATAAATTATATGCAACCTTTTCAAATAAATGCAACCTTTCAAATTCCCATGTTTACGTTTTTCATAATATATAATAAATTTTCATATTTACATATAATTCCTTTATATAAATATGAAAATTTGCTAGAAATTTACCTGCACGCCACATAATTCTTATATATTTATACCACCAAAATTTGTACATTTACAAACCAAAAATCATAGAAAAATTGTATAATGCGCATTGCGTTGGACCGATCCATAGCCTCAAGAGGCAGAACGCGCCAACTAATAAGCTAAACATGATTTTTTAACTTGCGCACATTAATTTTTGTTCTATTCAATATTTTCGGACGACGAAAATAGTTTCATCCGAAAATAGGGGGGCAACTGATACACCATGAACAATTTTTCATCATCCGACATGAATCTTGAGACAATCTTTTGAGCAAAAAATGTTTAAATCTTGATAAAAATTCATCTAGAACTTCAATTTCAGCAAACTTATGGTCAAACTGAACGGCTCGATGAGACAAACATAATGGTACCAATGATCCAATATGAACTAAATCGAGCCATGATCAAACCATTAAACTGTTTTTGAAAGTTTTTTGGACATATTCGGAAGGCCAAATGAATGTTAAATCTGACAAACTTATAATCAAATTGTGCATCTCAACAATACGAATCCAACGAGCCCAAGATCGCCCAATTTCAATATCATTAAAGCATTCAAATGTCCATCAAACATTGTCTGATCAAAGAAAATTATCTTGTACCGTCCGATCAAATGGTTCATATTCCTATATTAATTAAGAAGGAATTTAAGTTCAGTATCACTACTGCCATAGCTGACCGCTACCGACCACCGTCGAACATCATTAGCCATCCACCGCCGATCACCATCGATCGCCGCCCATTTCTTGTGGCAAGTTCCTTCACACACCGACGTTGTAACTCAATAGACATTATAACCTTTTCGGGCCTGTAGAACAAGAGGGTGTACTTGTAGTTTTCAATTCATAGTGGATCTCTTCAACTGAGTCAGATCCCGTGGTTTTTTTTCTTTACGGGGTTTATATCTAAAAACTTACGGTGTTTCTACTTGTTGTTTTCTTTCATCCGAGTGTGTGCTGAATTATCGTGCAACGCTAAGACAACAATCTATTACTTACCGTTGTGAATCTTCTAGCAAGCATTAACTTCTAAAATATTAAACAACCAAAATAACTAATAATCATACATAGCAAAGATTTAAATTCTATCCAATGAATGGTAGGTGCAATTCATTGTGCATTAATACAATGTTTTAATAACTTAGCAACATTCTGATACAACCAAAATATCATAATAAGCCACATTCTGAATTACATAAAACTTAATAATCTGCAAACTTCATTCAATTGATGGAGATTAGAATGAGCTCAGAATGAAATTAAATGAACATGAAACAATAATAACCACTAGAGCTCTAAAAATCAGCTAAATATTTCTTTATTAATGCAGAAGAAAATAAGAAAGAGTAGCATATGTGCATAAAGTTTTCAACCTTCAGCAATACTCACCTCAGATGAATTCCATGTTAAAGCAAGTTGGATTGCAAGGATATGGGCAATCAATTTCCTTCACTTGTCGTCTTTCAAAATACCAGTCTCCGACTGCCTCAGCGATCGTCTGATTAGCCAAAAAGGAGGAAGATTTACATACATACCATTCAATTCCTACGTATTTACATACCTAATACCCAAACTCTATTTTTACATACATGTCACTTGCCGATGCATGAAAAGGTGTATGATACGATTTGACACGATTTTTCACAGATATTAGATAAGAAGGTGGTGACACCTATAATGTTCTATGGGGTTGAATGTTGTCCTTTAAAAGAGAAGCATAATACTAAGTTAAGTGTTGGTGAGATGAGAATGATTAGGTGGATGAGTGGCTTTACACTTAGAGATAAAATGCGAAATGAATATATCCGTGATAGGGTCGGTGTAGCTCCTGTGACGGACAAATCTAGAGAAATTCGTCTTAGATTGTTTGGTCACATTAAGCGTCGACCATCTGATGATCCGATTAGGAGAGTAGATGTTTTAGATTCAACTTATGTTAAGAAAGACAGGGTTAGAACTAGAAAGACTTGGGCTTATTGTATATAAAATGATCTTGATTTATTAGAACTAAATGAAAATATGACACTAAATAGGATGCAACGGAAAAAAAAAGATTCATGTAGCCGGCCCCAAGTAGTGGGATTAAGGCTTTGTTGTAGTTGTTGTTGTATTAGAGCAAACACGTATTTTTTTATAAGAACATCAAACATTCAACATGAATATAAAGATAAGTATCTACAATTCGAGAGTAAGAAGATCTCTCCCAATTCCTATAATTCGAGTGGTAGGAATCCCTCCCAAACCCTAAACCTAAGACTCACAACAACAATCTCATGCATAACCCTAATCCTAAATATATTAGCCCTATTTATACTAAACAATACTAAATGACAAATAAAGACTAAATTGCTCTTAAGCCAATAAAGACTAAAATGCCTTTAGGCACAGAAAAGACTAATTTGCCATTAGGGACCGACGTAATAATATTCCCCTTCCAAAAAGTCACATTGCTCTCAATGTCGGAGAAAAGAAAACTATTTCTAAATCACGTAGTGTGACTCCCGCTCATAAACTAGCTTGTCTAGTTCTCGCCGTCAACACGGGCACACTCGTCATAACCATCTTTAATTTCTCAGAAGTTCGGGTGGACACTTGTCCTCACTGGAAGTTATGCTTCAATTCTGTCCACGACAACACAATCAAATTATAACCCAACACAAACTTCCAGTAGTATCCTGCAAGTCCAATAAACCTTTGTAACCCCTTCTAAGCCTTTGGTGGTGGCCCCTCCAACCTATTTGCTATGTTCGATGGATCTACTATGTTATGATGGTGCCTAACCCAAGGGAAATTTAGTCTTTCAATATTATTATTGTCAAGTATAAATAGACTTATTATGTTTAGGGGGTTAGGCTTGTGCATGAGATTGTTATTGGGAGTCATAGATTTAGGGCTTTGAAGAGATTTCATATCTCTAAAATTGTAAAAATTTGGAGAGATCACCTAACTCTCAAATTATAGGTGTTTATTTTATATTTGTGTTAAATTGTTTGTTGATTATGCAATAAAATATTATTTGCCCTAATTTTTATATAGAAAATCGTGTAAATTTCTGCCTCAGATCATATCAAATCAGTGTCAAAACTAAAGAATTTGGGAACTGGACCGACGAAAGAGAGGATCAATTGACTTGACAAAAGCTAAAGCAAATCACATTCAACAATTTCAGCTCATAGAAAGATATGATTGTTCGATCCGATGTAGATGACGGGGCTTGGGATAGTTGGGATCGGCATACAAAAACCCAAAACCCCCACTTTTTCCTTCTTTCTGCTCCTTCCCCACGAAGCAGCCGCAACTAGAGCTAGCTTGGAAGGCAGCGATTGGGAAGTGACATTCAGAGACCTGAAACTACATGATTTGCCTTCCTCCCGCGCCGTCTTCACATGTAGTCGTGATCAGAGCTAGCTGGGAAAGATCCGATGTGAAGGATCGCTGCTTAATGAAACTCAAAACTCGTGCCTTTCTCCACCACCTGTTCTGTCCCACAATAGATCCAAAACCTTTCGATATAGTCGTAGTTGAGTTATCTGAAAAACAGAAGCGATCGAGTATGGAAGGCTGCAACGGGATCGGGCATGCCCTAATTGTGATCCTAGAAGTCAACAACTAGAGCCAGGATCGAGTGTGTCCTAGTGACATAACATGAAGTAATGATGGCCAAGAGAACGGAGAACTTATAGAAGAAATTGGAGAAAGAAATGGGAAAACTTAAATCCATGATAGAGTAAAGGTTTTCCACTACTGACAATCGATTCAAGAGCATGTAGGAGATGCTGAGGAAGCTTAATGAGATGCAATGAGGACTCGTTGGTGGTTCAATTTGCAAATCCTACCAAAGCGTTGACTGAAGATACATTGGCTAAATCGAAAGAGAAAGAGACCGGACGAGAGGAATAAGAGGAAACATCGACCATCATGAATCTCTTCTTAGGACTCCAATGAGGGGTGAATTAGAGATTTCCGATGGAGGCAATTAGACCAAAACATGAAAAAAGATTATGCAAGAGGTTGGAGCAAGAAGAAGAAAGGAGAGAAACAAGGAAGGGATATGGCTATGATCGAAAAAGGGAGTTTTAACCTCGATACATGGGGGAAACAGTGGAGGGGGAGACAGTTAGGGTGGAGATGTTAGAGTTAGGAAGTTGAAGATGTCGATGGTTAAGTGGGAAGACACATGGGTGGGTATATCGGGCTGAGTGATATTTCGTGATCAATGAGCTAGATGGGGAGGAGAAACTCATGGCGGCAAGGTTATGTTTGGAGGGGAAAGCCCTAGGCTGGTTTTAGTAGAGTGAGGCTAGATACTCGATCAATTCAACGGAGGAGTTTAAGGATTGTTTGTTAGAACATTTCTGAGTCATTTGGGAAGTATCAGGGTGTGTCGGACAAGTGTCAGTGTCCAATACATGTCCAATTCGGGTACGACACATTTTTAGTCGGTGCTACATAGCCTAGTAGATGAAGCTCCCACTAAAAAACTAGGAGGACCTGATGCAAATAATCTTACCTCTACTATTTTAAGAAATTATTTTTGTAGCTTGAACTCATGATCTCAGGCCACCATGAAACTAAATTAACAATTGTTCCAAGCATGCCTGTGTTGAAGGTACAATGCAAGTTAAGAAAATGAAAACCTCTTCGCCTTTTAGATTTGCTCATATGGACATTTTCATCTTCTAAATTCAACAAGGATAACCGTTTCCATATTAAACACATCACATCATTAACTTTATCCCAATTATGTGGGGTTAACTTTATGAATGAGGCTGCATTCGATATCTAAATGAGCATCTTAATCACGATATTCCATGCACCAGTTTTCATAAATTGACAAAAATTGATAGCTAATGATAAGGCAGCAAGAATGAAGATATCTATCTACCTTATTACTTATTCTTGGAGAAGCAGAAGAGTGCCACGTGATATTACTCATCGTCTGGCAATGTACAAAGCATGAATTGATAAATATGCCCCCCTTGCTATGTCGCTGGAATTTGCTCAAAGAATCAAGCAAACTCTTCCTAAAATCTGCAGAAACGTAGACGTCCTCGGATTCCAAAGTTGATAAATCACGCAAAGATAGCTCTTGAATTATATGCATGCTCTAAGATTAGTACCTTGCAAGATTTCAATCTGATTGGAATTACAATAGCGAATATTCAACCTGCATCTTCTCCAATGTCCCCCAGGATCAGATTCTGGCGGTACCAAAATATGTTGAATCTGGAAAGGCAAAAAATGGTTATCAAGAGTCTGCATTCCAGGAATTAGGCATCACAGATAAAAGGTAAAATCAATTATAAGAACCTTACCTGCCAAAAATCATAAGCTGGGTTGAGAATAAAAAGAGGCGTATTTATTCTTTTGATAAGCTCGTGAGGAAAGAAGCACTGAAACGTAAACATAGGAGCCAAATATGAGAATTTTGAGCACCATAATCAACAAAAGAGAATAATTCATCAATTAGCTAATAAAAGTTTAACAAGCAAAGAATATAGAAGGTTATGCCTGGGGCGGTTTCATTGCGGTGACACAATCATTAGGCAAACTTTTTGTTACGCCCTGAGAAAAAAAACTTGCATGAAGGGAATAAGCAAGAAGGAAAATTGATTGTTAATAGACCTCAGATCCTAACATAAAAAAAGTGAACAAACCTGGAGATGGACAACTTCATTAAAAAAGGATCGGATGGTTTCTTTTCCAGATATGTCTTTTCTGGAAAAAAAACCAAGAAGCCAAAAAACAGAACGTTCAAATCAAAATAACCTCAATTCTAAAGATAAATGAGAACAAACATTAACGATGGCAACAAGAGATGGTAAAAATAAGAAAATAAATGAATTAGCTAATATAAAACCTTACTCATCAAGGAAAAAGCCAGCATCTGCAAGACATTTGACCATGGTATCCTTAGGTAAACGGCTGCGGAAATTATCACAATGTATGAAGGTAGCAAGACCACCAGCAGAACAACCAGTAAGAAAAGCCTGTAAACTGTAAAAATGCATTAGGCTTCCCTTAGGATAACAATTTTTACTATTTTTACGGAAGAAAAAGTAGATTATAAAAACCAAGCGTATAATTGGAACGTTACCATCCAAGAAGTTGCAAAATCGTCATAGAAATTAGCAGACCAAGATGTGGTTAGCTTCTTCTCACCACTAATATTTCTAAAAACAAAGACATTGTAGCCAAATAAAATGTGGCAGCAGACTGTAAATTAAAGCAGCAAAAAAGCTGCCCCAAATGCACCGAAAGAAATTAACACTTTGTCCCTCGTTTTATCAAAATTTTGCCTTTATGAAAGCTGATTTTAGCAAAGTAAAAGATTGTGACAGAAATTGCAACTTCTAAAAAATTCTGACAGCATAGGAAGTAAATCATAAGTTGCTCTAAACGAAACATTAATATTAGGAACAAATAACAAGAGAAATTGCTGACATGTATCTTAGTTAAAAAAGATGTTGATAACAGAATTGAGTGGAAAAAAATATGAATATTCAGAAGCAAATGTGGTAAAAGTAGAAAGAAAGAGTGTAAAGTGCTGAAGTGCTTATAATAAAGGATGGTAAAAGCACCTGAAATTGAGATAATGGAAAAAAAAAAAAAAACTTCAATAGTTTGATTATATACAACAAAGGTTTGGAGATGTACCAATACATAGGGGCACTCAAAAAAGTTTGTCGTTCGCAAAAAATTTGTGTTCAGCTCGCTAAGTAGCTCGTGTTCGATTAGTTCGTTAAGCAAACGGCTGAACACGAATGAATTTTTTTAGATGGATTTATGAGCAAGCCGAACACAAACAAACATTTGTTCGATCGTGTTCAACTCATTTTGGCTCGAATTAATTAAATAATAAATATATAATATCTGCAAGTTCAAATTATCATATATTTGACATGATATCAAAGATTTGATTTATATAAATGTAAAAAAGAAAATTTAGATGTTAGATATGTAAACACATAAGAATTAGGCGGTATATGTGTAAATGCCCCCCAAATTTAAAAAAAAGAAAACTTTAGTTGTTAGATGTGTAAACACATAAGAATTGGGCGGCGTGTATGTAAATGCCCCTCATATTTCTACAGTAATTCCCCATATATATGCATTGATGATAGGTGTATGTAAATGCTCCTAAAATTCTTACCCTAGCCCGACAAAACTCTGCATTAGGTTTAGTCCCACATCAAAACATCCGAGAGGAATGTGACTTTCAATCCATTATTAATGTAAAAATGAAGCTGAAAAAATATAAAATTTCAGCTTCATGCCGATCGGGTAAAATAGAGCTTATTATATTATTTGTTCCTTTGAAAATATTAAAAAATAAGAATAATATTTGAATTTTAATTCGAGCTGAACACGAACCAAACACAAACAGACTATTCACGAGCTATTTTGAACACGAACCAAACACAAAAAATAAAAAAAATTGCATGAGTTGAACACAAGCAAGCCTTGGGATCGCTTAAGCTGAGCAACAATATTTGATTAAAAGCTCGTGAATAGTCTAATGCAGACTTTTAAAGGTGCAACTGTGAAGCAACAATATTTGATTAAAAGCTAGATGGGCGTAGTTCTAAGAAACAGTTTTAAAATTTTAATTGGGTAAATAGTTCTAAGATAAACAGTTTAGGTAGATGACTTGAGCATTAATAGTTTAAGTAAAGGCTATCATGAATCTACAACTTGAGGGGGAAAAAAATCAACATAGGCATAAGTCAGTATAAGAAATTGACTGCTTTCTTTCCAATAAGATCTTTAAATACCAGAATTTTTATGTGGTTACTTGAACTCAAGCATCATTAAAAAAGATTGACCTGCTTTGCCTTTACAAGTCCCTCAGACAGGAGTTGATCAATAATTGCTTCCCAGATACGTTGACCCCTGAAGTACAGTTTCAATCCACTCTACACAGCAAAAAGAACATCATACAAATGAAAGATGTGCTTGGATTCCAACATGTTGTTAAATTCTGAAAGAAAAAGTTCACTAGGGAGGGATCCATGATCCGTAAGTTAACTCATATGGTAAGAACCTGATCTTCACTCTCAACATTCCCAGCTAAAGATGCACCATCACAGTACCGCACCTTAACTTTGTTCCAGTTAAAAAAATCTGAAAGAACAAAAAATAAATATAATTATTAGTACACTGGAAGGAAAAGACACCCAATGAAATGCGACAATTGACCAGGAGAAAGAGAGAAGGATAGGGAGATTGATAGTGTGCACAGTACCAAAGAAATCCTTTATAATCAACACAAAAAAAGGTTTGGCAAGGGACCCAAACATGTAAATGATGAAGGACGGGCAAAGATGTAGGCTTTATAATAAAACGTAGGATATTATGCAAGAACAAAACAAAAGAAAATCGCAATTCTCTGGTTACTCATTTATAATTTTAGAAGAAACTGTCACTTTAAATGGATGGACTATGGACAGTTAAAAAAGCAATGTAACAATCATTCAAAATCTGAAATTCATCAAGAAAATAGCAGCAAACAATCAGCATAGCAACTAATCAAGTTCACGGTTCAGGAAAAAAACCCAACACATATCATACATAACAAAATTCAATCACAATACAAAACAATAGCTAAACAATTTTAAAAAATAAGAATAAAGATAGAAATCACAGCAGAGGAAAGAACAAACCTCATGCCAGTGCAATTAGTCTCCGCTCAAAAGTAGTAATAAGCTAATTACTTTGTGGTAATGATTCAGAACTCCATAAGTTTTGATTAAAATTAATGGTTGAATTGATAACATGGAGCGACGAGTCAGAACTAATAGAATATTAAAAAGCTAAAGAACAACTCCCATTCATCCATTGGTAGAAGAGCCAACAATATGGGCATGTTTTTACATTTGAAAAGAACAGGAAATCAAACTAAGAAACAATACACATGAATTGCATTCCCAATGAACACAGAATTTCAGATTTGTACCAGTAAACTTATTAATCAGTAATAATGACAAATAACGCCAGAACCTAAGGTCCTAAATGTAAAATAAATACTGAGAAAGAACTAGAAGATGAACAAAAGAGAATGATCATAAATCACGTATTTTCTAAAATTAAGTATCTTCCAATTTGTTTGTACTTAAATCTCTGCAATGACATTAAAGGATATATAATTAAACATGAGATTATAATTAAATTGAATTTCATGCACAACAATGTTCTTCATACGAGATTAGGTATCATGGTATCATGATTAGTATGACGACTACCCCTTTTTTATCATCTTTGCCCAATCATATCAAGTAGATCCAGCCACAAGATTACTGCAGCACAAGCTCAAGTGTAATGACCACTTATCTAGCTCAAGAGTAGTTACCTAAAGTTCTCTTCAACGCGCAATCAATCAACCTTAAGCTCCTTTATTACCAGTGTTAATGAAAGTAGTGTTTCCCCTTTTAGGCCTTTATCTGGTCTACTTAGATTTTAGAGATCCTACTACATATAGATACAAATAGTCCAATGAAAACAAACATTCCTATAAACATTTAAAATATTTCATTTCTAGATAGAAGAATCCGTTTCAAGCATAATAAGCGGAATTTTACAATGTAAATTTTTATTCATTTTTGTGGTTGTTGATGCATGACAAGTTACTAAAGCAAATTTTCACGGTAAAGTTTGGCCTGATGAGTTAATTCTACTCCTACGACAACAATTCATTAGCTCATCCAAAGCTACTTAGCTAATCTGACACGACAGTTCATAACAGTTTTTTTTTCTTACTACTTTGTTATTCCATCTCCATCCATGAGAGATTGAAAATCTGGTTCAAATGTAAAGACAAAAAAAAGTATTTGGTGTAACAAGGCCTACATAAGTATTTGGTGTATTACTTTCTACTGTTTTAATTTAAAAAATTGGTTTGAAATTAAAAGAATTTTCCATAAAAAAAAAAATTGTTCCAAAAATTTTCCTTTGCTTGAGTAGCGTTAAACTTATCTAGTTCTAGGTTGAACCGACTGCAATACAAAGTTTTTGAAAATTTGAAACTTACTATTTAGGAATTGCCTCAGGATAATCCTATTCCCATTTACATTACCATCGAAAGAGTAATATGCAATTGGAGATGCTGTTAATTCAATTCACTTCTTAGTTGGCAATCCATGAACTGACTTTCAAGAGGACAGAGAGTAAACAAGAAGGGCAAGCACCTGTTTCAAGGCTCTCCAGCAAACATCAGAATTCATAAAAGCTAAGATTGTGAAAATATCAATCATGATTGACTAGTTCTTTTTCCCTTTTCTTCGGCTATCATATTTTCATAGTCTAACTCTTTTGCTTAGAAAAACATTATTGTGCGGCGATTGTTTCTAAGAAATGCCCTTCATTCTGAAATTTTGCTTTTGACAAAAATAATATGAAAATTTAAAGGATCTTGCAATTTGATGGTAAAAAAGTAAAAACAGCGATTTGGCAAAATGGGAGAGTATAAGAAAATAATTTCATTTTTGGTTCTATTTTTCAAATTACGATTGAATATCACTTCCAAAAATGTATATTTCTTATCCGAATATTAAGGGAAAAAAAAGTAGGGATGGGAATTATATGCTATTGATAAGGGATTCAATTTGACTGAATCTCATGTGATGGCCAATTAATTGAACCAATAAGATAGATATTTGGGTTATGTGACTTAAATATCATCCCGTAGACTTACCTAATAGAATTTGATATTAGTATGTCAAGTACATGATGACTTAAAATTAATAGATATTTAATGACTATTGAGACATCTCTAAACAATCATATTGATTAGCACAAATCTCAACGCATATTTAAACAAGAAGCTTCAAAATAAAATTTGTAAATGTCCACACTCCAATTTATAATCAAATGAAGTGTCTCAATGAGACAAACCAAATGACATAAACAATTACCTGATCTAAATCCAAGTGAGCCCAAATAAAGCATTTAAAGCATAAAGAGAAGCTTTGAAATATACTTTGGAAGACTAAATAATCTCAAAATATGACAAATTTATAATCAAACTGAGCGCCTCAACTATATAAATCTAATGTCCCTAAGATTGCTTAATTCTGACGCCATTAAGGTATTCAAATACTCATAAAACTACATAAATCAAGGAAATCGTTATGGGTCATTTCATAGAGTGGTCTGAATTCATGTAATATTTATAAAAGATGTCACTCCTAAAATCCATAAATAAACTGCAACTCTCTTCATGTAGGGGATCTGTACCAAGATAAGAAAACTAAAAAGAGCTTCAAGTTTTTAAGGATTCTCGAGTTCCACCACCACCAGACCACTATCGCAGGCAGCCACAGCCGTTGGACCACCATAATCCGATCGACACCTAACCACCCCTGTCGAGCTAGAATGCTGACATTGGGCCACTGTCGCTTGCTGTTGTCACCGTTAGTCCACAGTCGTCAGACAATCGCCGCCGCAGTCAAGCGGGCATCACCGTACCACCGACGTCGTGTTAGAACACCATTGTTGGGCTGCCACCGCCATTGAACCAACTAAATTTGACCAACATCACAAGAATGTTGTGGTCATAAGACCACAGTGACCCAACCAACAGGGAGCAACCTCTACCACAGTCACACTACTGTTGTCGGGCCCTTGTCGCCGCCGTCAAGAGATCACTACCGGACCACTGCCTTTATCTCCCGGTCGCAGCCACTGCCGCCGTGCTTGACCACCTTTGTTAGGTCATCGCCATCACCCGATCGACATTGCCTCTTGGCCACCAATGCTGTCACGGTACATCGCCAATGTTGAACTATCGTTGTCCGCCAAATGGCGCTTTTGTCGTGAGCGTCGCCTGGTCGCTGCTACCGTCAAAGTCATTTGGTTGCCGCCACAGTCAGACCACTGTTGCCCAACCGACGTCGATGAACCCCCGCCATAGTCATCAAATTGTTATCATCAAACAAAAGTCCTGTCGTTGCCACTAGAGTCATTGTCATATCACCATCTCTCAATTACTGTCGTTGTAAGTATATTGTTATTTAGCTAATGCATCTAAACCACAGTTGTTATCGCTGAACCTTTATTGCCCCGTGGATGCCGTAACTCCCGTTTTTGTTGCCAGACCACTATAGTCTTCCCTGACTCACTATCTCCTGGCGCCAATTATCGTCAGACCACCTTCACCTATCAGTCACCGAAATAAAGTCACAACGCTGACATAGTTCTCGACATCACCATTGTTCAACCATTGTCGTAGTTGCCTTCAAATCACCGGTGTCCGACTAATGTAGTTGCACCGTTAGACCTTCATTGTATAATCGTCATCATCAATCATATCAACATTCTCTGGCTATCGCTACTAATGTTGGAGCAGTGTTAACTAGCAGCTATTGTCATCAGTGGCAATGAATCCAGATTGCCATTACATAACCCCTGTCGTCGGTATTCTATCATCGCTAATGGGTCACTGCCACTTCCCAATATTTTCTCACATTCTTGTAATAATATTTTCTACTATTCAAGGACAGATAAAATTTTATAACATACATCTGAATAGTGAAACTATTTCAATTAGATTAGGATCGTGATTTTTTCTCTTCCAGGTATTCCATATAAAAATCTCCGGTGTACCCTCTATGAACTTTTTTTTTATCTGTACAAGTGTTGAATTTATGTGCAATGCTAAGACGTTAATATATTACTCTATCAAAGTAAATTCTTCGACACACAATAACTACATTATTGGAATTTAAAATTTAATTGCAGCTTAAGATGACTATATTGTTGGGATAGATGTTTGATTGGTGCTAATTTACTGTTTGAATTTGTGTTGCAGATCTTTTATTTTTATGAATTTTTTACTACTTAATAGGGAAAATGTTTGTTTATTAATTTCTATATATTTCTTTGTTTTTTTGGTATTTTGTGTATGATAGAATACATTGACCCATAAAAAAGTGGATATGGATGATCGGTTTCAATTACTAGTTAAGCTCAAAGACAAAATTGGATAGCTGTACTATTAAGTGGATATAGGATGGAGTATGCATCATTGGAGTAGTTACCCTGTACATTGCCATATATAAGAAATAGTATACAATAGTGCAATATTAAGAATCCCTCGCTAAAATAGCAATTATAGGAAACAATAATTAAGACGCTCTTAAACATAAATAAAAAATAAGTATTTGGTCAAACAAAAATAAAATATAAAGTTTCAATATATATGAAGCCTAAATTTCCTAAAATAATATGAAAAATATGTGACGAGCCCAAGAAAGAATAAAAAGATGGAGGACAATATACAAGACTAAAAAAAGAGCCTTTATAGTCCATATGAGACATAGACACTAGGGAAGTTCATGTGGTATCAAACACATATCACTTGGGCATGCCCAACATGCTCTGTTGGACAAAGATATTTCAATTTTAAACTCAGCCCACTAATAACATCTATCTACCCAATTCATACTAAACATATATTATTGAATAAGGGTATGGCCCTGTGTGTGTGGTCTGTAATCATGTTAAATGATATAAAACTTGAAAGTATTTGGATTAGATTCTTGTTGAACAATGGACCAAAAAAAATGATTGACGTATGACTTGCATGGGAGGTACAAGTCAACTCGACCCAAAATAACAAACCAACCCAATCTATCCATAATCCTCTACTCATGGATGATCTGCCCACCCACCGGTTAAATTATAGCTAATTATCGCCCAAACCTCATCCAATCATACCTTATAAACTCAAAACCAAATCCATCTAAGATTTAACACCAAAAAGGTCTTGCATATCGCTCAATTGGACTAACGATTTATACTAGTTTGGTTAAGTGTGTTTGCTTCTTTATTAAATTTTGGTCTAAGAACTTGATTTTTTTTTTTTTAATTAAATTGGTCAATTTCAAGTAAAATACATTGTCAAATCCTTAATTCAACAACGTTTCATGTAACTACATTTTTTACATTTAAAAATAATTTCTTATAATCTTGTACCCCTCCATCATGGCAAAAGATGCTTCTAGAACACATTTGGCACAAGCAATTTCACTCAAACCAATTTGCATATCCAATTACTCTTAAATAGATTCTCACCTTCTTGCTCCCCCCCTTCATCACTTTCTCAAATTGCACTCTTAAGAATTGGAATCACACATAAATTGATAAAAATTTCCTACCCATGTACTGTTTATTTATTTTATGGATAGAAAAATTTTAGCGAACATTTCTATTCACATTGTATATCATACAATACATTATCATGACTTTCCTGGTTTCCATGTATTTTTCCATGTTTGTATTGGTGCTTCATAGATGATGGAAAAAAAAAACACCAATAAAAAAAAAAATTATGGCAGCAGAAAGAACTTACCTGGATTTTGGGATGGGTAAGGGCTCAATATGCCAACAAAATGCATTGCTTCCATGTAAATTGATGAACCCAACGGTGTCTGTCCACGTGAAGCGCATGATTCTGCATCATTACACCAGCCTCCACCCTAAAGCTTGTGAAGCACAACTAAATTAAGCATGGGATCCATGAAAAGCTATAGTAAAATACTGGATTATTTATTCTTTAAGTAAACTGCTACAAATCAAATACATTTTCTGCTTAAGCTGAAAACATTCACTGCACGTTAGGAACTATCGTCTCAATGTGATAATATGCAAGTCTACCGGCAATAAACGGGAAAATAAGCTGCACGGTTCAAAATAAAAAGCTATTTAGTTCAAAAGATATCATGCAATAACCGTCTGCAGCCAATGAATCCGATTTCGAACTATCATGAAACAGAAAGAATGAGAAAATTAACCTAAACAATCAAGAAAAAAGATCTTAAAGATCTAAAAAACGCTGGGTAATTTCCTTACATCAATTCCTCCTATGCTTCCATAAAATTCCATTGTTAGAAAAAACTTGGTCCAATGACGCAATACAGCATGAGAGCGATATTCGATGAGTACCTCTAGGTGAAGGAGCCATTTATCAGATCCCGATCCTTGACCTCTCAGGAGATGATACCCAGGCAGACTCCCATCCAAGCAAACTTCGATTGATCACCGAATTTGGACAATGAAATGTCTCAAAAAAAATTTTCCAAAAGAAAAGCTAAAATTGCAACTAATACAGAAAGATAGGATCCTTACGGGCACCCCTAGCCTTGGCATTTCTCAGCAAAGTAAGATCAACAAGGGGAGGGTCCAGGTTTCTAAGAAATGGGTATTGTAAACCCGGTCCTTCCCCTCCCCTTCCTCCATCCTCCCAAGAGCGGAGAGTCAAAACGACGACGAGGATGACAAGCGCGCATCCTCCGGCCACCGTGGCCCGATCGCTTCCCCAGCACCGGCGAAACCAAAGGCGAGTTCGCTGAATCGCCATTGAAAGAATTGCTAGCGTTCCAGCCAGTCCCCCAGTGGAACCTATGGAAGAAATATTACATCAGTAGTACACATGTAAAAATAACGTGCGTAGCCAATCAAAACACGCCACGACATCTCGTGCGGTAGAGTAAAAAAACGGCGCAGTAACACGGGGAATATTCTCTTCTGTGTTATTCATGTGTTATTGCGCGTTATTCATGTGTTATTGCGTGTTATTCATGTGTTATTGATGTGTTATTGTGTTATTATAACACCAAGAATATTTTCAGGATACAATAACACATGAATAACACACAATAACACAAGATTATCACGGGAGAGACAATTCCCCGGGTGGCCCGGGGCGCATTCAGTCATGTGTTATTGTATCTTGGGAATATTCCTGGTGTTATAATAACACAATAACACATGAATAACACATGAATAACACACAATAACACATGAATAACACAGGGAGGAATATTCTCCGTGTTACTGCGCCGTTTTTTTTCTGCGTCGCGCGGGATATCGTGGCGTGATTTCATTGGGTACGCACGTTCCTCTACGTGCGTAGTACTGATGTAATATTTTTTCGGAACCTATGGCTTGAATTCCTCCAAAACATCACTCAATTTTGTCAACGGAATGAAAAGAAAAATAAGAGTAGGTGGACAGGGTTTTTAATATTAGAGGCATTTATATACATACCACCCAATTGTTGTGTATTTATATGAGAAAATTTTGTGTAAGTAAGATTTACGTAGAGTTGTATACGTCAGTAGGTTACAATGAGATTATTGAGGAGTTATATTTGTGTTATACCCTCTATAAACTTTCTGTAAACTACTTGTAACCTATCTGTAAGTTACAAATATATTAAAATAAAAACGCAGTATAGGTAGATTACAAGGGGTATAACGCTGTTATAATCTCCTTCCTATTTTAGTTTTGCATTTATATCAGCCAAATCTTTCCTTATTACAATTTACACGAACATCAACATCTCAGCTTGGGATAATTACATACATAACATTCAAAGCATTGATATTTACGAAACTAACATCTATAGATTGCCGTTATTATTATTGTTTGTTTATTTTGAGATACTTACATGAATAATTAAATATTATTTATTTCTTAAACTAATATCTATATTAATTTTTTAAACTATAAAATCAAAGTATTGGTGAGTTGGTATTAAAGATTTAAATATTCGAAAAAAAAAGTTTTTGTTTTCATGTTATATAATTATTATTTTTATGTATATCTAGCCTTTAAACTTTCATATTTATGTATATGACACTCAAATATTTATTATAACATTTAGAAAATGACTTAAAAAAAGCTCATTGTTAGCGAATAGCTTGTGTTTGGCTGTTAGCACATGTTCAATTTGTTCATTAAGCAAACAAGTCAAATACGAATAATTTTTTTTAGCTCAATTTATAAATGAGCTAACACAAACAAAAGTTTGTTTGTTCGTGTTTGGCTCAGTTAGCTCGAAATAACTAAATAATTAAATAATAATTGTTATTTATATCATTTTTATATTAATTTTTTATGCTATGTTTAAATAAAATGCATATAAGAGATTTATAAATGCAAAAAAAAAAAAAAATATGTTAGATATGTAAATGGATATATGTAAATGGATATGAATTGGTTGGTATGTATTTTAATGCTTTTATGAAAAAAAAAACAAGCCTAATCCCAATCCCATCTTACTGTAGGGCTGTCAGAAAAACTCATTGTTCGCGAATAGCTTATGTTCGGCTCGTTAAACAACTCTTGCTCGAATCTTTCGTTACCAAATTAAGTTTTAACGAGCCGAACACGAACAAGCCTTGGACTCCCTCAAGCTCAACCTAATCTCAATCCCATCTTACTGTAGGGCTGTCAGAAAAAGCTCATTGTTCGCGAATAGTTTATGTTATGCTCGTTAAACAACTCTTGCTCGAATCTTTCATTACCAAATTAAGTTTTAACGAGCCGAACACGACCAAACCTTAGACTCCCTCAAGCTCAGCCTAATCCCAATCCCATCTTACTGTAGGGTTGTCAGAAAAAGCTCATTGTTCGCGAATAACTTATGTTCGGCTCGTTGAACAACTCATGCTCGAATCTTTCGTTAACAAATTAAGTAACAAGCCTTACACTCCCTCAAGCTCAGCTCTTTTACTCCCTTAATAAAGTATGTCACTGCTGATAAATAAAAGAAGCAAAATAAATTTTTATTATAAATATAAATACCAAAACAGGTAGATATAATTCGAATATTTATCCACACACCATTCAAACCTATGTATTTATATATCTAACAACTTTTTTATTATTATTATTTACATATGTATGAAAAATTGTAATTCATTTTTCTTCAACATAAAATGTTAATATTTTATTTATGTGATATTAAAGCCGTGTGGTATAAAATGTAAAAAATAAAGTTATAGGTAGTAGATGAGGATCCTACTCGGACTCAACTTCAGAAGATTCTACTGAAACGCAGTAATTTTCTTGTTGAAGGCGGAGGAATGAGAGAGCGGAGAGAGGGAAAGTGGTATTTTGCCGTCTTCGGTCGATGGCTAATCGGCCCTCTGAATTATTTTGACGATGCAAATAAATTGCTCTTTGTAAACCTAATTCGATTTCTCGTCTTCAGGGTGGAGCCAGTCGCCTAAGCTTCGCGGCAACTTCTCTTTTTCTTCCGCTTTTGGACTGAGGATATATGATCTTAACATACAATTGTATTCTTGATTGAATTTATATTCTTGTTAAATATCTTATAGTTCTTGGTAAACGCTTTTTTTTCTTTTTTGTTTGGATTTATGATACTCTTTGAGGTGTTTTACAGCAATACAATCGGATTTTTTTTTTCAAATAACAAAAAACTTATTAGAAGATGATTTCTCTTTATTTGTATGAGAATCAACTTCTGGAAGATTGAAGATATGAATTACTGTTAGGGGTTTGCAAGCAGATGTCTTAGTGGTCTGTTGTCTTCATCTAATCATCCCCTTCTATCGTAAACTTGTGATTTTAATTGTTCTTTAAAGGCATTTTTGAATATAAAACTTATTTCATGGTGCAGGGACTGATATTACAATGTCAGATGAAATTGGAGAAGATGGCAACCCTATTGATCAAGGAGCAGACATCACAGTACGCCCGCTGCTAATCTCTTAGTGCTTGATTTAGTTCATTAATTTCTTAACTATTCAGCTTAATTATTATATTCTATAAATCCTTGAGTGCAAAGCTAATGTCAATTCTTGATCCATGTCATTTCTTTATTCAAACTTCTTTGAAATTAATCCTGGTATCAATAATTTGCATACTCGAAGGCTGATTAGTGTCATGCTTCCTTTATTACATATTACTGCTTCATTATCATAGTTTTTGCATGTGGATGCCAGTCATTTGTAACTAAAGAGATCTAATTGGGTATCCCAACTATCAGGCGTAGAATTAGCTTCTCTTTTGATTGAGTGCATAACCCAAAAGAAACCAGGAAATAGATATTTTTTTTCCTTCAGTTTAGGGCAGATAAAATTATTGATAGATGAGATGGAAACACTTTTTAAAAATAACTGACTATATTTTTAAAATACACAAAACCTTATAGTTAAGGGATATATATATATATATATATATATATTCCAGTTCATGCCAGATTAAATGGTAACAACTATCATTCTAGTTTTGTTTTAATCTTGTATCAGATAAAAGATAAAGCCGTTAATATCATGAATAGAGGTACTGGCACCAATTGGATGTTCAGTCTCATGGGTAAAAAGCTATGGAAGAGAAAAAAACACAAAGGAAAAATCTCCCCTTCATCATCTCAGATGATGCGAACTATTTCAATCCATCATTTGGAATGCAATGATTTTGTTTCTCAAAGTGAAGTTGGTGAGACGTCGGCTTCCGGTAGTGAGAGTTCAAAAAATGCTCTCAGTTCTGATTCATTGGCAATGAGTGAATGTGAATCGCAGGCACATAAAGGAACTCTTGAATCTGCAGAAGGAAAGCCTGCTTATGAAGAGAGATTAATGGCTCCCGCTAAAGTTAGAATATTAACAAAGTCTGCTTCATTTCCTGGATCAGAGTTCTCTGGAAGTGCTGCTGGTATATTTTTACCAAGCTATAGAAGGATGAAGAGTGTTTCCATTGTTACTCAGGAGGCAAAAAATGGATCTGTTGGCGCATTCATTAACATTGCAGGGGGTGGATCTGACCCGGATGCTTTACCTGGTTCTCATGATTTGATGAAACAAAGAGAAGCTAGAACTGTTTTAAATCGACTGAGAAACCTCAAGGAGAGGATAAAGGATGTAATAATGGAGAACAGGAAGGAGAAAAAGAGGATCTCTAGGGACGGGATTCTGCATAAGGTTCCGTTTGGCCGTAAGCTACTGGAAGATATGAGACATGAAAAGATAGACCTCTGGAATGATTCTGCTTCTGAAAGATGTGATAGAGGTAGTGAAGGAAGTAACTTCAGTAATGCTCCTGGTGGTTCTTATAGCAAATTTGCACAGAAGAGTTTTCAGCATTCTTGTTCGCTTAATGAATCTTTAGACAGATATTCTAAGTTGTTAGAGACCATTTCACTTAAAGAAAAGGAGGAAGTTTCTGAGAGTTCTAAATTAATCCAAAAAGATGGCGGTTTGCTCGAAGGTAAGCTTCCAAAGAGTTTTGGAAGGATGATCTCTAGTTCGGTGTTCAGGTCGTTTTCTTTTAGCAATGCTATTCAAACTGAAGCATATCTGGAGTCATCAAAAATTCTAGCAGCAGAACCTTTTGGAAGTATGATGAACAGAATTGTAAGGTCAAAATCGAACCGAGAAGACAATGTTTTGCAGCAAGAAATGCTTCCAAAGAACTTTGGAAGAATTTTGTCTAGTCCTTTGTTGATGTCATATTCTTTCAGCAAGGCTGTACAAAGTGAACACCATCTTGAATCATCACAAATTCCAACACCAAATGCCAATGCAATCATTTCACCTATTTTAGAAAGAAATGATAGTGAACATGAAATGGTTGTGGATCCAGATTCGCTTTTTAGTGCAGACAAAACCATAAGATCAAATGAATTTGTTACTTCTACTGTAGAAAACATCTCTGAGAAAATAGAAAGTCAAGTAAATCAAGTTTCGGTGGATGACTCTCGATACATTGAGCTATCTCTCTTACCAGAAGCTGTAGAAGAGGAAGCTGACTTAGTCAATAGACATGAAGCTCAAACAGAAGCTGAATCTGATATCAAGATTGAAAAACCAAGTTTTATCTCATCTCTGGACCCGAATATGGTTGAAGGTTCTGCTAGTTCAGTTAAATATTTACTCCGAGAAGGTGTGCTATTTTATTTGTCCATATTATTACTTATTTTAATTGCACCTCCCCATATTTTTTATCTTATATGCCATATGGCTACTTCCGATCAGCGTAATAGAACTTTACTATCCAATTGTTTCACTAATTACCTAATTTGGCAATCATGGACAACAACAAAAGCATTAGATGTTGAGGCTTTTGGCTTAAAAAAAAAAAGTAAATCCAACAATTGAAATACTTGTTAAATTAGGTGACCAATGCGTTAAATAGTTGTCTGTGACACAAAATTTACCTAAATTGATCTCTTCTTTTTTGAGTAAATGTGATATTTTTCCCCTTAAATATTTTGTTGGATGTTTTAATGCTTCAATTATTTTTTATTAATTTTAAAATATAATAAAATGAAAAATATAAAAAAATGACATCCCTAAAGTGGATGAATGCCCTTTGCATCTTCTACGTCCAAGTTGGTTGGAGTTTAAATTTCACGTTCTGCACGATCATTTATAGGGAAAATATTTGCATACGTAAGACGTACGCAGCGTTGCATACGTCGGAGGTTATTCAGAGGGTACAAGCGGATTATATCCGCTTTATACCCTCCTGTAAACTCCCTGTAACTATCAGAACTACAAAAGTGCAAAACTTATTTGTAGGTTATAGGTAGATTACAAGGAGGTTAAAGGGGGGTATAACACGGATAACCCCCTTATACCCTCCCCCTTATACCCTCTGAATAACCTCCCGACGTACGCAGCTCTGCGTCGTCTTATGCATGCTAATATTTTCCCATTTATAGACTAATTTGTCATTGTCGATATCATCTAAAACTCGTTCGGGAAAATACTGTGCATCTAAAATGATTATAAAATCAGGGTTTGTTGGTGCTCTTTCTACCCAATGGCACGATCTCTCCATTCTGAAAGTCTTCTTAGATTGTTCTGTCGCAGAAAACAGGGGCCTTGAGCGGTGCATATAGATGCTTGCTCTTTATCCGTAAGAAGGATGGTCTTAGGGAATTTAATTGTCGGGTCTGGTTTTTTAACATGGAAATTTGAACAAACCATGCTATTGGGAACCATTGCCTTCAGATGCTTTACACCTTTTAATTATGGTTTGTAATGCGATGCTCTCATTATTCTTGTTAAATATTCGATTAACTAACAAAATAATATAAGAACTCAAAATTTACAAAATGATATTTGATTAATTGACAAGAAAAATGAACTCACAACCTTTAAAACGTGTGATGCCCTTTAAATTAAAGAAATTTGAACACCTAAAAAGTTAGACATCTATGTTTTAACATTTGAAATTTCATTAGAAACTCCAAATTTAAGCATGCTCGTATGATAGTTCTTGGGATGGGTGGTTTTCCTGATGGGACCCAATTGTGAGAATTAAATCTAATACCTGCTAGTTTAGAGTTCAAAATATTATAACTAGTATTTAAGCATTATACCAACTAAAAGATGAGAACAAAGTATCATACAGGATAAAATGCAATGCAATGACAATGACCTCTTAAACTCTTATTGCTACTTGTTAGGATTCACCCCTTGAACCTGTAAGAGCTACCTCTAGAATCCTATTTTTTTTATAATTTATTCTAAATTATGGATATTGAACATTAAGGCGTCTTTTGGTGTGATAAATGAAATTTTATAAAAATTTCATGTTAAGTAAGTTTGTTGGAGAGCATTTTTGCTATGATTGGCCCCTGGGAAGCTATACCAATATCACAAAATTGTGAGGCAATTAGACCAAAGCAGAACATATATTGATGGTTAAAAGTTTGGGCTATCAAAAAAATTAATGTTGAGGGATATATATATATATATATTATCTAATTATCTACTAGAGATTTCATCTAGAGATTTCATATTATCAAATATTATGAAATGACATTTAGGCTTGAATCCCCAACATTCGAGTTGAACTTCGAAAATCTCTCAAATTGTTTGCTTCGATTTGCATGCCTTAACCAATTAAATAAGCTCTTAGTTGAGCCTTATTTTTAATGAGTGCAGGAATCTGTCACTATCTCTTCCTCAAGCTCTCTCCAAAATTCTTTCACATTCATGCCGTCTATATCCTGAACTTTTGACCAATTAAATTAATTTTTTTTGTGAGGAGTTCGTAGTTGAAAAGTACAACTAAAGGAGATGGATGATGGGTGGTATGTATTACTTGAGAAGGATAATGAACATTCGATGGGCATTCATTATTTGCTCCTTCATCGAACAAAACTGGCTTTGAGTTCAATATTTGAACTCTTTCGTTATGGTTGCTTGGTGCTTATGGAAATGCTTGTGTTGAGATATGGAGAAACTCTCTCTAATGCCAATTTTATGTACTCTAAAAAAATAGAATTAAAATCTGATAGGAAAAAAAAAAATCATTAATATGAAAGAAAATTATATGAGATATGTCGGAATTCACTTACCCAAAATTATGAAGACGCGCTCACAATTACAATGAGTCAGTCACTCACATAAATAAAAGGAAACCCCCTCTCTCGTTATTGAGCTTTCTCAAATATTCCCTTTTTTTTCCTTGTTCTTAATAACATCGAGTCAATTAAATCTGTTTGTTGGTGGGAGAATAGTTGGTGATTGAAGGATAAAACTAAATAACCTAAAATTGTAGGCATTAAGTGGTGATTGGAAAGAACAGTAACCATCCAATGAATACTTCATCACGATATAAATGCTTAAACCATGCATGAACTATTTTGTGTCCCTTTTGTTTACTCTTAGAATACTAACTTTTTTTTTTCCAGTGGTGGCTAACAAAGACCTAATGGAATGAAGATGGCAATCTTCTGAGAGAAAAGTGCTTTATTGGTGTTTAATTGACTATGGGGGTTTAATTTAAGTGAAATACACCTTTTCAAGCATATGCAAGGTGGCATATATGTAAAAATTGAAGTTTAGCTGTTAGATTTGTAAATCCAAAGGAATTGAGTGGTATGTATGTAAATCGTCCAACTAGTTATGATCAATCTCTTCTCTCTCAACTAACTCCTCTCCATCCATATGCAGTTCAAAAATGAAAATAAATTACTCCAGAAAAAAAAAAAAAAAACTTGAATGCCATCGGGATTTCGGCTATGTTTTTTGCAATTTCCATGTTTCTCTCAAGTTTTTCAATAGCTCTCAGTACTGATTAATCAACTATGCTCCTCAACAGGTTCAGAACTGCAACCAATACCTACTGATGAGCAACATCTATTCTCCGATGCACAGAACAAAATTTACGTAGACCCCAAATATGATTCTTTGTTTGAATTTGTGAGGTTCGTTCTGAGTCAGTCTGAGAATGAAGCACCTGGCTCATCTTACGAATTTGGGACGAAAACGAACATGCCTTTCGAACCGAAACTCTTATATGATTTGATTAAGGAGGTGTTACTGGAAATTTATGAGCACTCCACTGCTCCAAATCCTTGGCTTCTTCATTTTCATTCTAAAATCAGAGCAATGCCTGTAGGAATTTATCTGGTAAAGGATGTTTGGAGTGAAATTCAGTGGCATCTGTGTGCGCCACAGGGGTTAGATGCCACGCTTGATGACCTTATGGCTCATGATTTTGCTAAAAACGATGGGTGGATGAATCTGTACCGTGAAGCTGAGTGCTTTGCTTTGCAGCTGGAGTATCTGATATTGGATGATTTGCTTGATGAAGCAGTTGTGGATTCTGATGAGTTCAGCTTTTGAAGGTATTGATCCTTTATTCATTTGTGTTACATACAACAATTCTTATGCATTTACATATCAAACAAAAATAGTCATATATTTACATTTATACATTCAAATTTTTAACATCACATCAAAAATATCATAAATGCTTTCTTTTTTAAAGTGAAATTTTTCTTTTCATGCAGAAGGTTATGATGCTAAAGTGTTAGAAGTGTAAATATCAAACTTTGGGTGTTGGAAATGTAAATACATAAGAATTGTGTGGTATGTAGTATCTAAATGCCCCTTATTATTATTATTATTATTATTATTATTATCTTCTTTTTTTCTTTTTTGTATGTATATCGATCTCATCCTCATTTGGAATTCCACCTGTATTGTGTGGTAGTATTAGCATTAAATAATGATGTAAAGGTGTCTGTCTTGCATTTTGGTGATATTGTAAATTTTGATTTGATAAGTTTTGGATGTTTTGACATGATTGATGTTAAAATTCGTTAAATTTTAGTTTGTTTGAGAAATAATATCAAATTTCAAGATTAGAGAGAGGTTTAATTCTCTTGAATCCTATTTGTTTCAGGGTTTATTAAATGTAAAAAAATAATAATAAATAAAAAGAAATAAATAAACTTGTTGGATTTGTGTGATTTTTAAAAAAAAAATTGCTACGATTTTTAAAATAAAATACACATTTTATGTGGAGTTTATGAGACTATGGGATTGTTAGATATATATCCTATCAATAAATTTCCATCACCTGTCCTGAATCTTGAGGTGTGACATGAATTTTGAGGTAAGTTTTTTATCAATGAACGTTCAAATTTTAATTAAAAATTATTCAAAATTTTAATTTCGGTAAACTTATAGTCAAACTGACCGATTTGATGAGATAAGTCTAAGGATACTAAAGTTAGTCAAATCAAACAGTTAAATTACATGTAAAGTCTTTCAGTGTATAATTGAAATGTCAGAAGAATTTTAAATATGACAAGCTTATAGTCAAATTGAGTGTCTTGACAAGATAAATCTAATAGACCCAAAATCTCTAAAGTCTAACATCATTCAAACATTTAAAGGCCTACTGAATGACATCCAATCGAGAGAACCTCTTCGCGCGGTCCAATGGAGTGGTGCAAATTATAAAGAGTCCTACCCCCTTCTTGAGTGGAGACCTCATGCCAAAAGGTGACTGAGGTTCAAAGAAGAGTTGAAGTATAATATTGCTTCTACACTGATGATCCGACGAACAACTTTGGCTGTTGTTGATACTAACTGTTATTTTGACCCCCAATTAATGAACTAAGGTAAAAGGGCAATTTTGTAATGTGGCACCGCCACCTACC